GCCTTTTGGTAATTATACCAATTAGATTGGAGAACCATTTATCAGGGTGCCAATTCAGTAAATTCTATACTTTCTGGAACTTAACAAAATGGTCTAAATTGGACTGACTAAATAACTCTTAAGCTCCTAGGCACTTTAGTTGACTTGATCATGTAACGTGACAATAATTTCCTACTCTATGAACTAGGGTTATAGCTAGTGAAAGAAATAGTTCATTCATTTAGTTTGCTTTGCCATTTGAATTTGAAAACTAAAAACTTTAACCAAAAAATATCGGCGTGGAATCCTACTTTTAATTTTGTTTAAAAACTGATTTCAGTGAACATTTCCTTTTAGTTGATGCTTGAATTTAAAGGTTAATTAACTTAGTGATTCTTGAGTTGGTAGACATGTAATTGTTGTTGATTGAAATTTTTTTCACTGCCACATTTTTCTGAAGATACAGAAGAATGAAGTAAGAATTGCAGGCATTCAAGAACACTGGAAACTTAAAAAACCCTTATAATAAAATTATTGCTAAAAAGGAGTTCCCATTTTTTAAAATTACTCTATCTAAAGAACTTTCTAAAGTGATTTTTCTAACATCTATTAAAGAATGGAGATGTTCCTCAAGTGTTTTAACCACTCTTTGAGGATAAGGGTATGAAATTCTTCAGTCACTCAGAGTTACTATACTTAGTCACACTGCACATTATTGAGCAGAACACCAAGAGGTGGTAGAGTAAACCTTCAAAAACACAACTCTTCATTGAATTTTTATAACTGACCTTTAGAGTATTATAATTATAACTAATAAAAATATGAAACAATACACTTCTGAAACAGAATAGTTTTGCTGAGAAATCTCCAAGCCATTTTTTTCTGTTGCCAGTATCTAAATATACAAATGTGTTTACTAAGTCACATGAGATGTTGGTGTTGTTCAAAGAAATTCCATCAATTGTTTTAAGTGAAAGATATACTTAGATATTAAGCAGTCAGTTAAATAATTATTTTTTACTCAAATTAGCTCTTTTTAAAATTACATAGTTCAGCACTATGGGTGTCAATGTAGTGCTTTTTCTAAGATACATAATATATTGCAAAATTAAATTCAAATAATGTAAAGGAGTTCCTGTGCATTTTTACAGTGCAACAAAGTGATACTCACAGGTTGGGGAGAAGTGAGAAGACTTAAAATCTCGATTGAATTTGAAGAGACATATATGATGAGGAGATGTGAGAGACAACCCATGAGGAAATGAGTGGTCCACTAATTGAAAACAAGTTTTGTAAATAATGTTGGAAGAGATTAACATACATCACCATAGCAGATCAAATATCAGAAGAAATGACTATAACACAAGAACCAAAATAATCAAATAATTTCAGTATCAAATTTAAAATTTTAATCAATTGTAAATTATATACACACAAATTAGTTTGCTTGCAAAAGTCAAAGAAAGCCTATTTTGCTTAATTATAGTCCTTGTAAACATTTCTCTCTACATCTATTTACTCTTATGACTTCTAGCAGCAAGAAAACCCTCTAAAGTCAATATACTTAATATCCATAAGGAGAGAAGACTTAAGTTAGTTTTTAATCAATTTAAAGCAGTTTAACATGTACTTGAGGATCTACTATGCTACAAATATTCTTCTGAGGACTTCAGGGAGTGTAAATATGAACATGAAGCACTCCTTACAGCAGCTTACAATCTGAGAACTAAGGTAGAAGGAGTTTATATATGAATGAATTACATGGTAGAATAAGGTGAGTGCCAAGTACAAAATGGTATAAAAGGGTTTACCAGAGACAACAATTATCTTAGGTGGTTAGGCGGGATCAAGAAAAATATCCAAAAGGAAGTGGATCTCTGCACGTTTGTCCACTTATTCATAGCCAACAATGGCGAAAATGTGGAACATGATGAAGAAAGAGCTTATGGCCAAGACGGGTTGAAGTGTAGTGCAGCTGGTAAGGGGAAGCAGAAAATGAGGCAAGAAAGATAGATTGGAGTTAAATTGAAGGGCTTTGAATGCTAGGTTGACAATTATTAGCCAAAAAAATGACACTGCCTCTTCCATCACAGAATAGATGACAGTAGACCATTCTATGAGATGCACGTTGAAAAAAAATTTAGAGAGTATGATGTGGCCTCTGAGGAATTTAATCATCAAACATTTATTGAAGACCTATTATGTGCCAGGACTGCTTTGATTGTGAAATTTGTGTTGTGAAAGAAGACTACAGAAATACAAAGTAAAATCCTACTCCTTAAATGGTTCAAAAGTGAGTGAGAAAGGACACTTCCAGAAGTGCTATGTAAACAATTTAGGATACTATCAGGAAACAGGGGATGTTTGGGTTATCTATTACCATGTAAGAAGAAACCCCAAAGCAGTGGTGTTGTGAGTTGGATTGTGTCCCCACAGATTCGTATGCTGAAATCCCAATCCCAAGTACCTCAGAATATGACTGTATTTGGAGTGTTAAAATACCTTAAAATTGAACCAAGGCCTAAAGAATCTCTGAGAAGATGAAACCAGTGAGGCCTCATAAATGACTTAAACCTTGCTTGATTTGCAAACATCAGAGAAACTTAAGTTGGGCTACTTCTTGTAAATGCCTATATTAAAGAAAAGCAGAACTTAAGCTCAACCAATCAGAAGTAGCCAATAAACTTTTACTTGTAAAACCAGAGACTTTCCAATAGGATAGGCCAAAGAAGGCAATTGTATAATTGTGCTCAATCAAATATTTTCTTTGCTTTCCCTCTGTATTCATCCTATAAAAGCCTCCTCCTTGCATTTCCTCATTGGAGCTCTTGAACCACTTCTGGTTTGGAGCTACCCAATTCATGAATTGCTGCTTGCTCAAATAAACTCTTTAAGGTTTTATTGAGCCTTGGTTTACTCTTTATCAGGAGTAGAGTATTTAAAGAGTCAATTAAGTTAAAATGTGGTTGTATGGGTAGCTCTAGTCCAATATGACTGGCATTCTTATAAGAAGAAGAAATTAAGCACAGACACACACAGAGGAAAGATCATTGGGAAGATGTAAGGAGAAGACAGCAATCTATAAGCCAAGAAGACAGGCCATAGGGAAAATGAACCCTTCTGACACTTTGACTTCAAACTTCTAGCCTCCAAAACTGTGAGAAAATCAAGTTCTGTTGTTTAAGTCACCCAGTCTGTGGTACTTTGTTGTATCAGCTCCATGGCTCTTGGGTCTGGTCTTTAAATTCTTGGTTCTGCTTCTGAATTATCCTTCCTCTTCCATAATATGTAGCATGTGTTTGATGAAGTAGTTTTCTCAGTCTGCTTCCGGCTTGTATAAATTTGGAGTCTAAAGACCCCTTTTCATTTTTTAATGTCTCTGCTCTTACAGTCCAAACTGGCAGTGTTACTCCATGAATAAATGTTTTAAAAATATTGAGTTTGCATCATTATGTAAAAGCCATATCTATACAACAACAGATGATGTGAACATCTGAACACTGGAGGATCTGCTTCTAAGATGGCTGACTCACACAGCAGGCAAGGTGGTGCTCTGTCAGCTGGAAAGCATAGCCATGACTGGGGAGTGAGAACTTCAGTTTCTTTCAACATGGGCTGGTCCAAGTAGCCCGGGTTACTTAGCTCATTTCCAGGGTGATCATTTTAAGAGAAGGAGAGAAAAAGAGACAGAGAGAGAGGGAGAAAAGAGAGAGAGAGAGGGAGGAAAGAGAGAGAGAGAGAGCACACTAGCACCAGGTGGATGCACTATCCCCCTTTATTTCCTAGCCTTAGATGTCACACCGCTTTGCTTCTGCCATGCCCTGTCAGCTGAAAAAGTCAAAAAGTCATAAGGACCCATGCAGGTTCAGAGCAAAATACATACACTCAACTTCTTGAGGGAGCAGGGGCAACACTCTAGAAGAGGATATGGGTCCAGACATATGATGGCCATGTTTGGAACACTCATTCTGCTCTCCAGTGCGCTTTGTATTGAGTATCTGTTCCAGAATGAATGTGCAAATCAAGAAATGCTTGAGTGAAGACAATATTTTAGCTTTATTATATTTAGCTATGTAATAGAATATTAATAATAAATTATTAATCAAGGTCATATATTTTGGGAGCTTTTTAGGCTTCATTTCATTTAATGCTAACAATAATCCAAAAAGGTAGATTTTATTATTCTTTATGGTAGATGAAGTAACTGAGGCTTAGAAATGCTATTTAGTTTAGTATTTAATTACTAAAGTTTGCATTACTGTGGTAGTTCCTAGAATATGTTCAAATGCTGATGAAACTAACCCTATAGCTATAGAGATACATGTTTTAGGAATGATGGATAACTGTAGGAATAAAGTTCTTGAGTTGACAAAAAAAGGGATGAGATCTAGTGTATCATTGGAAGTTTTGGCCATAGCAATAAAGTTCATCTGTTGTAACAGGTGGAAAATGGAGTTCATGGGCATAGATAAAGATAATTAGGTAGAATTGTTAGTGATAAAATGAAGTATTTTGTTTTATGACAGCATCCATTTCCTCAGTGAAATAAGAAGCAAGACTATCAGCTGAGGCATGGTTATCAAAGTTTGACCATGGAACCATTATGAAATAGTTAAGTTTGGGAGTGGAGGATGGGGGTAGCAAGAGGATGGTGGATCTGTGCTGAGCATCTCCTTGAGGTCTGTGGTCACGAATTTATCTGAGACCAGTCACTGAAGTCAGGTGTTTTTCTCTAGTGATAGGCCACTGCTGGGTTTAGATGCAAAACAGGAAGAACATTTAAATTTAACCAGTGGCGTAATTTTTGAAATAGCATGAAGAGTAAGAGAGGGAAAGATATTTTAGAAATGTATAAATAAATAATTTCTGTGATTGGTCTCACGATCTAACTAAGGAAAAGTAGAAAGTCAAATGTGACAAATGACAAAACAGAAAAAAAAATGGAGGTCCCGGTGTAGTGAAAACATTTGGGAATAAAGTAAAGTAAACTCCATAGTCATAACAAAGAGACCAGTGAGTACCTTTAGAGTCTTATTCCTTCCTTTTGGTCCTCCTTCCAAATGGAAACAGTTTTTTGTCTTCGCTGTTGTTGTTTTGGTCTGAGGACGTTCTTTTCCTTTGCAAATCACAAGTGTGAGAGAATTAATACCTTTCTGAATAGACCGCAGCCAAGGACTACTGGCAGTTATAAATACTCCAAATCCCTCTCCCTTAGGTGTGATAAATCTGAGACTGTGTCTTATACCATGTCCCAAACTTCCCCAGTTGGATTAGGCTTCAGCCAGCCAGGTGGGAACTTGCTTGACAATGCACCTTTAATTGATTCTATCTCTTTCCTGTCTTGCTTCCTCGCTCCCTACTAGTGTTCCCTGTAATCATTTCCCAAATAAACTAATTCTATTCAAGTACTATTTCAAGGCCTGCTTTCTCAGGGGACCCAACTAACAACTCCTCCTTTGAGCCTCTAGAGCCCCTCTCAAAACACTTAACAAAATACACTTTGTGATTTCTTACTTGTCCTTCTCTCCATTAGACTGTTTCCCCACCAAAGGAAAACTATGTCTCCACCTTTCTGGCTCCTTCTCCTAGAACAGTTCCTGCTATATAAAAAGAACAACTTAAATATACAGTAAATGGAACGGAATACTCAATTAAAATGGATGGTTTTGCTGACTGAGGATTGGAAGTATCTTCTTAACTCGTTGAGGCAAAACTAGATTGGGTTCAGTATAACATGAATGTTATTTGTAGTATATTCTTGACAGAGTAATTCTTTGAAATTGATAATCCACAGAAGAATGTCAAGTGTAAGATTTTTGACCAGTCAAAATATATCACTCTTTTTAGATTGCTAAATTTGATGGAGTTGAATAATATAATATGGTCTCCTCAGATACATATTTAACAAAGCTAAGGAGTTGTGTGGTTATATATTTATCATTTTTCCCTAAGCTGTTTATTCTATGAATTCTTTTAACATCAGCAACACAGAAATAACTGTAGGAAAATTTTTGTTTTTTGCATCATAAACACCTAACATGGAAGATGCTGAATAAATATTCATAGAATATTCTTGTGACAAAGATTATCATTTTAAAATAAATTATTGTTGGAATAGATTAAACTGATGTTAAAATTAGGAAATAAAAGCACAGTATTAAGCTCTTTATATCTTTTTTTTTAAATTGTGATTTGACTATCATCTAAGCACTGCTATTTATATACCTGTTTGCTACTGCTAATTACTTTATAAATTTCAATTATTCTGATGGCTAAATATCACAATTGTTGTGTAACTAACTCAACCAAAAGCCATACTCACTGTGAAACAGATATATTGGTGACAACGCTTATTTGCATTTGCAAATCTCAACAACTGCTCAAGTATCTGCTTTCTAGCAATTAGGCAGCTGCTACTTAAAATCAATAGTGGTAAACTCTGGTTGTATTTGGTTTGGAAACGAAGTGTTGTCTTGTGCAGCATTCTGGTACTTTGCAGCGTATTAATGAAGTCACTTTGCTTCATGCTGTTGTATCGCAGCTACTTGGCATCCTTTCCTCCTCAGCTGGCTATTGCATTACTTCATCTATTTTCCTTTCATCCTTTGTCTCATTCACAGGCTTTGCCTTTGAATGGTTTTGAATTTCCCTTGTCAAGAGTTAATTTACACTTTTTAAAAATGTATAGCTATGAAGCCTAACCTGGTTGAAATATGTTGGATAATTTATTAACAAAAGCTGCGTATGAACTATTTAGGAGTTCCATTTGAATTTCCTAAACAGTTGGGGAATTAGCTTCATGGAGGGCACAGGTATGTACGGGAAAAACTAGCAGGCAAGTGGACGTTAACTGACTGAAAAGATAGCTTCAGTCATACTGGCTTCAGTACAAGTAAAACAATCAGTTTTTAGTGATGAATTATATCTAACCATGTGCTAATAATTGAAATATGTACAAAACACTCTTATATCAAATCTCCTGTAAGCATTGCCTTGTAATGTTATGGCTCATACTTTAGTGCAAAGTTTTGCCTTGTTATGGTGTTTGTATAAGTTCTCTTAGTATAGAAACATGTTTTAGAATTATAGTACAAAAAATAGCTTAAAAATATAGTGATGGAGTTAAACTAAATGCTGTTGGAATACTGCTCTACAGTTTTTAAAGACACCATGCTCTCTCATACCAGTGTACCTTTTTTGCATATGGTATTTTTTTTTAAATTTACTTTCCTCACCACAAGCCCCATCTCCTGCCCACCCTAGGATATTCTGCATTTCTTTTCAAATCTCTGCACAATCTCCCAAGCAAAGTGAGACAGTCCATTCATCCTCCTTAATCCCATTTTACTTGTCTATGAAAGACAGGATAATACATGCCATGGAAGTAACTATGTAATAAAGGCTTTAGTAGGATGACAAATGCTCAAACTCAAAACTCCCTAATTTTGTTAAGTATATATCTGAAGAGACAATATTGTACTTTCTCACCAATTCTCACTATTTTACATAATTAGGCTCACTAAATAAATATCTAAAGACATTGCTTTGCGGATATGTCTCATAAAGTCTCCTAAATCATTTCACTTTAACCCAGGATTTAATATTACTATGTTGCTCTACAAACTTTGGGCTGTATCCTTTTAGAACATTTTGTAACTTTTTTTCTTTATAACCTGAAATCTCACTATTTTTCTTCTGGATCTTCATCCTTTTCCCTAAGTCGACCATATAAGCTAACTTAAAAGTAGTTACGAGCTGTAATGAGAGGCATACAACAATTTCTTTTCTGCTACAAACGCTGGAAGTAGTTGCATGAAGTTTTGGTTGACCATATCTCAAAATCACAGTCTTAATGCCCATCACAGCAAAATGAGATGCTATCTGCCAATAGAAAAACTTAAAAAAAAAATACAGAATATACAGACCCCTCCTATGTATTTGATTATGTGAATGTTTCGTTTACCTTCCTAATTTAAGGATACCAAATAAAACATTTAGGAACTTAAAGAAGATGATATTTGCTTGCTTCTCATTGTGCAAGAAATCCCATTATAGTGGCCATTGAATAAATGAATTACAGTGAGGCTTAGAGTTGCTCTGAGTTTGGAGATTTCAATACTTTACAGAGGTAGTCTACTCAAAGTATGCCAATTTTTCACGTTTTGTTTTTAGGGTAGGGATTCATGCCTATCTTGGAACCGTGACTGCAGTAATTGGAAAACAATTGGCTCCTTAAACATTCTTCTACTATTGCTCAAACTATAGGTCTATAAAATGTATAGACTTGAATAATTTAAAAATATTGTATGTTAGGCTTTAGAAGTCAAGCTTGAGCTGGCGTAAGGGTTTCCTAAATTTAAAGGTTGAAAGCCTTCACTAACAATAAATATCATGATGATTAAAAACAATACACTTGAATTTGGAGTTGAGCATAGAAATCATTCAATCAACTAGAAAATCATGGGAACAAGAAAGTAACTTTTATGCATTTATTAACCAAATCTTCTCTATTCTCTATATGTATCAATAATAACGCAAGTATTTGATTTAGAAATGTGTCTATTTTGTAATTAGCTGCTTCATAGTGGAAAAAAAAAAAGGTGGGGAAAGCTGAAACTGATTTGCTAACACCTTAGACTGTAGTCCATCAGAAATGCAAATGTGAAATTCCCTGAAGTTATGATAAGCTTCATACACAAAACAATGGCTTTCATAGAAGATACTTTGAAGCATTCAGGAACCAGAAAGTTGGCTTTGGATGATTAGAGACTCAAGGAAGAATGGCAGAAGTATCAGTTGAATGAAGATGTGTTTATTCAGCTTACATAAAGTCATAGCCAGCCATCTTACAGGTTTTACTAAATTTGAGTTTCCTCAAGTCTAAAATATTCTCATTCTCATAGCATAAAGCACTAACTTTAAGTGCGTGTGTGTGTGTGTGTATTAATCTGATCATATTGAAATGCAGGTAGATATTTGGCTCCACTATGTCTATTTACTTAACCTTGGCACTCATCACACAAACCAGCTTGCCCCCTATTTTCATCCATAGCAGCATCAGGTTTCTTTGAAGTCTAAGAGCCTGGCTGCCAAGGTAATTCTAGCTTTGGTAAGCATCATATAGTTGAGACACAGAGTTGGAAATCAGTTAAATATTGAGTTGGGGTAGGTTGACAGAAATAGGGAATTGTCTGAGGATTAGTACAGATTGCAGTGATTATTTCAGGGGCAATTTAAATTCTCTGATTTAAGCCTTCTGCTGGCTGTTAAAGATTGACAGAATAGATTTATTTGTTTGCCCATTCATTCATTTATTCAACATTTACTTAAAGGAGTACTTGTTGTAATAGAGAGATGGACAAGCTCCAGAGACTGGAGCCACAGGTGAGTGGAGGTGGGTGGGTGGAACGGCGGGGAGGGTCAATACCCAAAAGCTTTGTTGCATCTTTTTATTTACATGTGTGTGACAAGGTAAGAGGCAGACACTTTCTTAAAAAGGTGCGATCTTGCAAGATTAACATGTACACTGGAAAATTATGTGGGGTAGAGAAGGGAGTTTCTCATTAGAAGGAATGGTGCTGGTGAAGTTGTCAAAGTTCCCCACCACCTAGTGTATCTATGGGTAACTAGAACAGGTTACTAGGTTGAAGCTTGGGAGGTCACAGGAACAGGTCACATTGGAGAGCAAAGCATATGCACATGTCACTGAAACGCTTTAATCGCAGTGCCGTCCCTCCAAGTACGAGTGATGAGGATTTCCCTGATACACGAGGCTCTTTCAGGAGTTAATTTTACTTCACTCTCTGTTTCTTGGTCTTCTAAATATTTTGAACCATTAAAGGGGAGTAGAGAATGGTCATGCCAAATGGCCTGTATAAAAAGTAAGCAAAGTCATGGGGCCAGAATGCCATTTTTCTGAATGAACCGCAAATGGCATGCTGTTGATGGAAAACCACTGAAGACAGAAGAAGTATGGAGGTAAACACAAAAATCAGGCATTGGCTTGGCTTCCACCATTGATGAGACTCCCATTCAATGATTTCACACAGCCCCTGGACTGGCCACCAAAACTGTCTCCTCATTTCTCTCCATGCTGACCTGCTGCTCCCCTCAGCCACTGCTCAATCCCT